TTCAGAACAGGGTCTGAACCTTCAGCTCTCCAAGCAATTCCATTTGTGTATGTGATCACAAAAGTAATACAGGATTAATGCTAAAAATAATACAGAAGCATAAAAGTTTTGAAGAGAAAGCCCTTCTCTCCCAGAGGCAATTTATACAATGGCTTCGTTGAAGCCCTTTAAGACACACCTCCTGTGGGATCATCTTCCACATAGTGGAATGGAAACTGATTTTCTCTTACCAACATGGAGTTCTCTCAGTCAGCATATATAGCCTCCCTCAGCCCCTTAACACCTGTATGGTGCCTCGTCGTATGGCTGTCCCATCCCTGGGGCTTCCCCTGGGATCTGCACGTGTGCAGACTCTGACTCAGCAAGTCTGGGGTGGTATGGAGATGCTGCATTGTTAATATGCTCCCAGGGGGTGCTGAGCTGCTGGTTCGAGAACCATACTATGAGGAGCAAGGCCATAACTGCCTGTCCTGTCCCCTGAGTGAGGACATTGGATTCTCCTCACACTTACCTTAACCTTTTGTACAGCCAGACTCGAAGCCCCATGGTGTTTCTCATCCTCCAACACCAGCAGATCCATGGGCAGCTTCTGGTGGGTGGTTCCTCGGAGTTTCTGGTGAGCCAAGGAGAGGACATGCTCTGGGGAGGATATCCTTAGAGCCTTTCCTCTAGCCCACTCCTGACTGGTCCTGAAGGACCCCTGGCCAGAGCAGGACTCCTGGAGACACCCCCAAAAGGGGGCAAGTTCCAGTTCTCCATCTCAATCTCAACCCCAACCCCAGCTCAATACACTTGCCCATCACAGCCCTGGATCCCCGGCAAAACAAAATTAAAAGCTACTGGAATGAGTTTTCATGAAATTAAATATATTCCATTTTTTCAAGCACCGAGATTATTTTTTCGAATTTTTTTTGGCATTAAAAATTTACTTTGATAAAAATAAGAGATGACAGTTAATTTTAAATGGCTTACTTGGCAAATACAAAATTTGGCAACTCTATGTCAGATACCAACATTTTTCCCCCCTCGGATTTTACTGATCTATGAAATCCTGGAGTGTGGAAGCTGTTGCTCTCAGAACCTAAGGGATGGGAGCCATAGGTCCCCAGCTTTCAGCTGAAGGGACTCGAAGTATAAACCTTATTCTCATTGTGAACATATGGATGAAAGTCCTTTCAAGTCTCCTCTACACTTGTAGGTCCAACTTGCCTGGACTACTCCCTCATGGTCTCCTTCTCTTCTAAAGGCAACCACTCTTGGTGAAGAGCCCTATCTCTGAAGCCCCAGTGCACCAGGAGCATTTGCCCAGGTTGGAGGCTGCTGATCAAGATGGCAGCTGGGGAGGAATGGCCACCCTTACAGAGCTCACAGCTGTTTTTTTGCATTTCCCATCGAGCTCCTGTGTTATATTCTTCAAGGGCCATTTTGAAGGCTGATTTCTCAGGTCTTTATTATGGCGGTTCTGTTTTCCACTGGCTTCTCTCTTCTGTGTTGGGCTTACATGGTTTGGGGTCTCCCCAGTGTTGGCCTTGCCTAAAACACAGAATCTTTTCCCAGGGACAAGGGATGACCTAGGATTGCAGCTACTACTGCATGTGGGGACTCTGGCAGGGCTCCCCATTGAGTAGCCAGACGGTGGGCTTGTGTCTTAATCATCTTTGTATCTCCAGCATCTATAACAGAGTCTAACATATAGTAGGTTCTCAGTGAATGTTTTGAGAATAAATGAGTGATGGCAGGTGGGCTCAGCATCTCTGCCCATCCCTAAATCCTAAGTGATGACCTAATCTAGTAATCTCTCCACAACAGAGCTCCATCCCTTGGGCTGGTCTCCAGGACCCTCTTCTTTCTCCTCCCCCAAGAAGCGGGTGCAGGCTGGGCAGAGGCTCCCCTCTCAGGACCCAGCTGGGCTGGGTGCTGATGGTAACAACTGGGGATTCTAATGCCTATCCACATCTTACCCAGACTCTGTGGCCCCTGGCTTCAGATTTGTCTTTGTGGGTTGGCATACTCAATAAATGCTTACTGAATTAGATGCTAGTTGGTGAAACACAACAAAACTTGCACTTTACTTCATAAATGGTTGTATAGATTGAATGGGTGAATGCCCGCGCAGTGCTTAGCATAGTGCCTGGCACTTGGAGGTACTGGATGGGAAGGCCGGCTCTGTGGAGACCTGGTGTCCTGTGAGCCCTGCTGCTATATTTGTTGGATGAATGAATGGATGAGGACTGCTCCATGTCCTCTTGCTAAAGGTCTCTGTGTTCAGCACTCCAAAAATGGCACAGTGGCATGACTCACCTGCCCGACACTGGTGCACATGCCCTTGGGAGAGTGAGAAGGCATTCGTGGAGGCCCAGGGATGCCCTGGGAAAGACTCAGCAGGCTCAGTCCCAGCTCTTCCCTGACAAGCCTGCCCTCCCTTCCCTAGTCCTCGTCTCTTCTTCCGCTGGAGTCCTGATCTGTCCCTCTTCCTCTCCCCATCCGGTCACTCTTGCTTTTCTGAATGGAATCTACCTCTAAGCTGATTTATCTCCTCCCTCCCATTCCTGTTAGGGCCAGTCTTTCCCACCCCCCACCCCCAAAAAGTCCTTCTCAAGGCTATTGGAGCTGCTTTCCTAAAATATGTCTGATGGCACCACAACAACATTTAGTGGCTCCCCATCGCCCTCCCTGGTTTTTGTCCTGCCTCCCTTCCCAGCCTTAGCCTCTGCTGTCAGACTTTCTCATAACAGTCACGCTTTCACTCACCCAAACATTAGCGCCTGTCATTTCCTCAGCCTGAAATACTCTCCCCATTCCTAATTTCCACCCACCTTCCTTGAAGGCCCGGCTCAAAGGCCATCCTGTCCAGAGAAGTTTGGGGGCCCGCAGTGGAAATGGGAGCACCCTTTCTGCTCCTTCACTTCTGATTTGACATCTCTATTTCACCATTTCCTCACTCTGCCTTGTTTCTTAGTTGACTGTGCACCTGACAGCTGCTGGCTAAAATGAATGCGGGGTTCGTTAAAAGGAGTCAGGGACTGGCCTTACTACTGGACCTCTCATTTTTCACAGCACAGGGCACTTGGCAGAGCAGACTCTGGGTCAAGTATTAGTTTAAATAAAATGAAGCATAGGACAAGCTGGCAAACTCCTCCCCACACTTTTTTATTCCAGAGAAAATGCAACTGCCCAGAGCCCCAAGCTTCAAAGGCCTCCACAAGTGTGGCTGGCAGTCCTGGGAAAACCCATGCTTCCTTTCCCAGCAACCCTTCCTCGTTCCGCTCCCAGTCTTTATTCCTCTTCAGTGACCAAACACTGGAGATTCTCCTGTCCCAGCCTCCCATCCGGCAGCTGGGGGATCTGGGGGCCCCACATTCCTTCATTCCCAGGCAGGGTCCTAGCTGTCTCACTGTGTGCAGCCCAGCCTGTCTCCTCAAGGCCTAGGTGGGTGGGCAGGGTCTCAGGGTCTCACCTTGGCTTGCCTACCTCAGTGTCCCTCCGTTCTTGGGGCTGAAGCCTCAGTCTCCCACTGTCAGCAACCCCATACCCCAGGAGTACCCTGTGGCAGCAATGAAGCCAGTTGGGCCCCTGGGGACACCTGTCCTCTTTCCTACCACAGGTGTGGCATCCGAGCTCTTCTTTCCCTTGACAGCAGAGCTGGTTCTCCTCAGAACACCCTGGGGCCCCCGCACCCCTGCCCGTACCTCATTCTCCTCCTCCTGCGCCAGCCGCTGCTCGATAAGTTCTGTGGCCCTCTGCACTGCCTCGGTGCCCGCCATGGTGCCGTCTGTAACCCGCCTCTGCAGGCCACGGGGCCATGGGGGCTTTATAGACCAGGGCACCCACCCCCGCCCTGCTGGGCGCCTTTGCCATGAGCTCACCGGCCCAATTCTCCACCTGCCTCCCCCACCTGTCACCTTCACCCCAGGCAGCCCTAGGGAGAAGGGGGAGGCAGAGACAGTTGCCCCCCAACCCCTGGCCTATTAGAGCTGGAGGGCACAGCACCCCAAAAGCAGGGGCTCCAGGAAAGAGCCTGTCCGGCCTCTGTCCTGAGTGCCTGGGCCCAGCTGGTCCTTAGCCAGGGCAGCTGGGCTGCAGAAGCACCAATTGGCTGCCCCTAGTCCTGATGGCAGTGCCACCTGCTGGATGCCTGGAAACCATGCCCAGCCAGTGCTATGAAGGGAGCCTGAAAGCCAAATATGGGGACCCAAGACAGGCATGTGCCCCCAGGCTGTCCTGTGAAGTCCCAGGACTTTTTGGCTCTAGGGAGGGCCAGACTGCCTCACCTGGGCTGGAGTGCCAGGGTGGCAGGCGGGGGTAAGGGAATCTGCCTCCTTTGCCCGCAACTCAGGCAGGCCTTTGCTTCTCCGGTGTCCCACAGTGCCCCCTAGCAAAGCAAAATTGGCTGCATGTCCATTAGTCCTTGACCAACCTCAGCCATCCGTCAGTTTTAGAGGGGGCCTCTGTGGGACTAATAGGGCCTTGCTTCAAGAGGGGTCTCAGGAAGCCGGGGGAAGGGCCAGAGTGCAGTGCCAAGCCCAGCTGACCAGGACACCAGCTCCAAGAAGTCATCCTTTCCTCTTGTTCCTCTGTCAGGCCACCCTGACCAGGGGCCAGCCGTGCTGAGGAAGAAAAATACTCCCAACTGGAGAAAAAACAGACCTGAACCTGCTTAGTCTCACACCAGGAACTGTGGAAGCCAGCCCTGAGTCACCATGACCCAGGTTTAACTGCCAGTGACCAAAAGAGCTCTGTGGTTCCGTAACACTCGCCTGGCCTGCCTTTACCTATGCAACCTTCTAAGATTTCCCTCTGCTTTTACGTACACTTTCCCTAAGGAAGCACAGGAACACCTCATTTTTCTCTCTGGTTCCCTTGCTGGCAAGACAATACGTGCTCATAATCTAAATTTGGCAAAGATTTTGCTTTAACATCAGCACAGGTGAGTGTCTCCAGGGCCTGGCTCAGAGGCTGGAGCCAGAAGCCAGCATCCTCTAGGTGCTGCCCACCCACTTTTCCTATAGTAGAAGATCAGTAGGTAACCAATGCCACCTTCCTGAGATGCTGCTTTCTTCACATCTGTTATCCCAATTAATCCTCCCAGCAACTGAGGGAAGAGGCAGGGCAGGTAGCATCACATCTACTTTAAAGATAAGCAAAGTGAATTCAGAGGTGAAATGGTTTTTCCTGAGGACCCATGAGAACACAGAGCCCAAATACTAGCAGTTCAAGGCTTGTTCCGCTGTACTCTTCTGCACTCAGAGAAGCTGGGGAGGCCATATGCCACATGCTCCCACACGCGAATCTGCAAGGGAACCCAAAGTCAAAGCCCGACAAGACAGAAGGAAGGAGCAAAAGGCTTTATTGATAAATATGCAGATATGACTGTACACAGGGACCTGCTGTGGGGCCATGACTGGCTGCAGATTCCCCACCGCTTGGGTTACAGCCAAGAAATGGCCCTGTGCAGACCCCTGCCACAGCAGCCACCACCTCATCTCTGCCAATTGTGCTGGGGGCAGGGAGAGGCAGAGGCCGGCCTCAGGCTCCCTGCCCCTAGGGCTCATGAGCGGTCCCCTCCTCTCCAGGAGACTGGCAATGTGCCCAGGGCAGAGTCAGGGGGTGGGGGCAGGGGAGGGAGACAGCAGCTGCTTCAGACCCTGAGCAGAAAACCGGAGCGAGCACGCCTGGAAGCACCAGATGACGAGTCTGGGCTCCAGGGGCCTCCGGGCTAGCCCTCGTGGCTCGAACCTGCCAAGGGAGAGAGGCAGGGTGGAGGGCCCTTTTGCCTTTCCTCTAACAAGGTTGGCAAGGCCTGTGTGGCAGCACTGCTTCCTGGGTGCCAGACACTGGTGGCCCATGGTGTTCCTGGGAGGCAGGGTCCCTTCACAGCACATCCAGCAGCCATACAGCGGGAGGCGGCCCTGAAGAAAATAACAGCACTGGAAGGCAGCAGCAGGTGGGGGGGGGCCTGGCACTCCAGCCCGGAGGTCTCTCAGCTCCACAGAGGCCCTGCCCAGCCCCGCTTTCCAGGGGTTTGTGCACTCATCAGTCCTGGGGTGGTGGGGGCTGGTTGATGATGACCTGGATGACAAAATCTTTCTGGATCTTGGTTTCCTGGAGCCGCGTACGGTCTGTGAGCAGCTTCCCAGAGAAGAACCATCGCTGCCAGGACGGCTCAATGCCTTCCTGGGTGTGCAGCTGCCTCTTGAGCTGCCCTACTGTGTCGGGCAGGCTGGCGCTGAGCCTCACGTCCTTGCCCGTGGAGAGGCGCACCTTTAGCGGGAACTCTCGACGCACACTGGGTGTGGGCTCAGGAGGCTCCAGGCTCTCCTCCTCAGTGTGCTCCAGCAGCAGGTTCACGGGTGGCGACAGGCAGTAGATGGGCAGCTGGTAGCGATTACCCAGTTCATCGTAGCATTCACACAGGGTGCCTGTGGAAGACAGGGCTGTCAGATTCTGCTTGGGAACTGAATTCAAATGTTGAAACCCTAACCCCCACTGTCACTGTATTTCAAGACAGGAGCCTGTGTAGGAGTAATTAAGGTTAAATGAGGCCATATGGGTGGGGCCCTGACCCTACAAAATTAGTGTCCTTATAAGAAGACACCAGCGTGCTCGCTCTCTTTCTCTCTACCATGTGAGGACACAGCGAGCAGGCAGCCATCTACAAGCCAGGAAGAGAGCTCTCACCAAAAACGGATTCAACTGGCACCTTGATATTGGGCTCTCCGGCCTCCAGAACTGTAAGAAATGAATTTTTGTTGTTTAATAAACCACCCAGTCTGTAGTGTTTTGTTATAGCAGCCCAAGCAGACTAATACACCTGTCATGGCCACCCCACAGTCCCAAACACACCCTACGGTCAGGTGTCTCTATAGTCAGATGTCTCTGGGAGAGCTGGGAGGAGCTCAACATAGAGTCAGGAAAACCTGGGCTGCCATTCTGGCCTCACGGGGTACTGGTTCATTCCACCCCGGCATATCACTTAACTTTCCATTTGTTCATTCAATAATTCTTTCTTGAGCACATGTGCTGGGTGCTGGGGTTACAAGGATAAATGAAATAGCACAGGCCTTGCCCTTCATGGCTTATACCCTAGTGGGCCACAATTTACTTACATAATGTATTGCATGTAGAAATATATTTACTGTGCCTTGAGCACCTAAGTGCTAGCACTGGACTAAATGATATACGGTACTTTGTTGAATCCTAACAACATTTTATGAGGTGGTATGCCCATTTTGCAGTTGTAAGTCACTGAAGCTTCAAATTCGAGAAGCTCCTTACTCAAGGTCACACAGCAAGAAAGAGAGACACTCGTGTTAAACTTAGGTCTATGACTCTAGAGTTCCACTGTTAACCTCTACTTTATATAGCCCCATAGGCTGTTATGAACATAAATGAAACAACACAGTAGAAGCTTCTAGGTCAGTGCCCAGCATATAATAAGTACCCAACACAAAGTTAGTACCTCAGATGTTCTGGGGTCCCAAAGCTCCCTGAGTAATCCTTAGCCTGCTCTCGCCACACTGCTTTGAGGTTTGCTGGTGCCTTTCCACTCTTCCATTGGGCAAACGGAGACTGTGTCTCATTTTTCTTTGTGTCCTCACTCCTAGTCCATGCTCATAAGGGCTGCTTGAATAAACAAGCAAATAGCTACACCTACCACCCATCAGTTTTGGATAGCAACTCCTGACATGTGGCTGGCCACCAGCTCTCCTCCACTCTAAATGGAGCTGATGGCCCACTCGGCCCAGTGGGATTCAAGCCCCCAACCCTGCCCACTCACCATGAGGCAGGGTGATGCTGGCTCCGTCCAGGATGGCCTGAGCCAGCTCGTGGTCATTGGCCTCAGCTGCGTAGGCAGCAGCCTTGAGGGCGTCCCAGATCTCTTTGCGGCCCTCAAACGCAGGTGCTGTGTCCCAGAACTCATCCCGTTTGCTCCGCAATTGCCCGTCGGTCATGGGGTAGTCGCTCTTCCACTTCAGCCTCTCCTTCTTCAGGGGCTCATTGCGTCCTAGGCAGGACAGAAGGTAGAGACTCAGCATCTCTGAAGCCAGGGCTGCAGTTCACCTTCTCCCCAGCCTCCAGGCCAGGACCTAGTGCCTGGCATGCCTCCTCTACCCACCCCCCCTCCACCGCCTTCCCCAACACACACAATGGTGGCTCCTAAATATTTGGGTCTCTGGGCCTGTCTTTGGAGTCAGGGAAGAGTCTGGAAACTGCACACACCCAACCTGGGAACATAAAATACTTTTGTCAGCGAAGCATATACTGTCTTTTTTGTTGCTGCTGTTGTTTAAGTTTTAACAGCATTCTTTCTTTGATTATAAAGTAGTACGTGTTCAGTATTTTTAAAATCTGGAAAGAATGTAGATGTGTAAAAATAATAACTGCCACCATTTACAGAACCAGCTTGTGCCAGATTGCAGGCTATTTCATTTGATCCCCAAAACAACCCAACAATGGGGAAGCAAAGACCAAAGAGTCTGTTGTTTGTCCAAGGCCACATGGGTACCAATTTAACACAAGACTTTCTGACTCCAAAGGCTACCCTCTGACCGCTGTCTATACCGTGCTGCCACTGTGGAAAACAATCACTCAAGGATTCCACCATTCAAAAGTAACCACTGTTGACACCTAGACATATTTCCATCCAGTTTCCTTTCCCCCATTTTTCTCAAAATAATTGAGTTTATACTATTAAATTTTTATATTCCTCGTTATATGAAGAATTTAAAATGTTTTCATGCCAATATTCAAACAACTTTCTTTTTATGTCACACTTACATTACTGTCAATGTATATTTCCACGATTAAAATTATAAACAGTTAGAATGTCTTGTTATTAATGTCCCACCATATAGTTACACAGATTAAAAAAAAAAAAAACATAACCAATGAACCAAAAAAATCTCACAGCACCTGAAGAAGAAAGCAATCCTGTTAAATGTCATTTTTCTTGTTAGTTAGCCCCAAGTGGCCTCCAAGACAACTTCAGACCCTGGTCAAGGCTGAGGCAAGAGCATCTCTCAAAGAATTTAGGAACTTCAGTCACCTTAAAGTTGAAGGCAAATGAGCCACAGGAGTGAGGTCTAAAGCACTTGACTCCCACCCTAACTCAGATCCTATAGGCAAGAGACTGAACTGAAGCTGGAGACCACCACCACTAGGCCACCCCCACTGGCTGGGGCAGGAGGGGGTTTTTCAGGGGAAGAGGATGACACTCACTGCCTGCCCTCTGTGTAAAAGAACCCCCGAAAGCACTTTAGTTATACACATTATCCCATTTCACCCTTGCAATAGCCTTAGGTGGTAGGTGTTGTTATTGCTATTTCACAGAGGATGGGATAGGCAGAAAGATTAAATGACTTGCCCAAGGTCACACAGTAAGTGACAGAGGGTTCCACCGCAGGTCAGACTGAACCACAACCAGCCCTCCTGTGGGTTTGCCAATACCCGTGCAAGCAGAAAATTCTCGGGCCAGACATTTAATTTAGAGCATTCCCAGAAATAGCAGGAAATGCAAATCTTCCTTGTAGGAAAGCAACTTCAAACCAGGCCTCAAAGAATTCCTGATATAAACCTCAAAGGAAAATGAATAATAAGGTCATAGTTTAAAAGAAAAATCACAACATATAAAGAAACAAGGCAATATGAGCCAAAGCCAGCAAAAACAGCAAACAGAAGAATCAAAGATTTCAGATATGGGATTCATCGGACACGGATTATTAAATATTGCATTTAAGAAAGAAGAAAGCCTTAAAAACATGAACAGGGAAAAAGAGATTATAAAGAATGACCAAGGAGAAATTAAAAGAACCATACGGGAGTTCTAGAAATGAAAAATATACTAATTGGAATTTGGATGGTAAGAATAAGGTGGGAAAAACTTCTCTACAATTATTGACACTAATTATAAAGCTACAGTGAATGTAGTATTGGAATAGGGACAAATGGGCCAATGAAATGGAATAGGGAGCCCAGAAATAGACCCAGGCATATATAGAAATGTGCTTAAAGTAAGAAGAAACACTGCAGAATTGTGTGTGTAAGATGAAATATATATATTGGTCTCTGCCCCCAGTTCCTGTTAATACTTGGTATTTGACCCAATTCCTAAGACAGAGCTCCTAAAAACCTTTGTAGTGATAGGAATGTCTAGTACAGAGCTCTCAAATCCCTTGGAATTTCCTGGGTGACATAAGCATCTTTTGTTCTAATGAGAGACTCTTGGTGGGATCCTGGATGAGGGCTGGCCACCAGAAAGACCAAGCCATGATAAGCTTGGAACTTTCAGCCTTGCCCCCCACTCTCTAGAGAGGGGAGAAGGGAGAGAGGCTGTAAATTGAGTCAATAATTGATCATGCCCGTGTGAGAAAGCCTCCACAAAAATTCCCAGGGCTTCCAGGTTGGTGAACACATCTACATGCCAGGAGAGAAGGGCTTGAGACTCTTCCAGACCTCGCCCTATGTATCTCTTCATCTGACTGTTCATCTGTGTCCTTTAAAATATCTTTGGTAATAAATCAGCAATAAGAAGTAAACTATTCTCCTGGTTTCTGTGAGCTGCTCTAGTGGATAATCGAATCCAAGGACGGGGTCATGGGAATGTCCAATTAGTAGCCAAGCTGGACAGAAATTACGGTTAACCTGAGGACCTACTACTTATGATTGGTGTCTGAAGTAGGGGGCAGTCTTGTGAGACTGGGCCCTTAACTTGTTGGGTCTATGTGAACTCCGGATAGTGTCAGAATTGAATAGAACTGTAGGACACCAGTTGGTGTCCACAGAGAATTGGAGAATTGTTTGGTGTGGGAAAAAACACCCATAACAACTGGAATCAGAAGTGTTCTGTGTGAGTAGTAGACGAACACGCAAAGTTTTTCTTTCAATAGACTACTGATAAATGGCGTTAGGACTAGATTCTCCACGTAGGAGAACACATGAAACAGGACCCCTATCTCATGCCAGCTACAGAAATCAAAACCAGATCAATTAAAGGCTTGAGTGCGAAAGACAGAAAAGGAAGCACTAGAGACACAGAAGATAAGTTTCATCCATGTATTTTTTTGTGGTAATTTGGCCCAGAGGCCTTTCTCCCTAGATCCAGGAAGTAACTCTTGCTTCATGATTTCTGATTCCTCCTCTTTGGTCTTCTAATATTGATGACTCCCTAACAAGAGCTTTGATCCAGCAAGATACACAGTCCTAGTACAGTGACATCCTCAGGGACCTCTGGGGTGTGGAACTTCTGCCCCTCCACTCAATGACCCCACTTCGGCGACTTTTAAACTTCTTGAGCTGATTTCTATAGCTTTCCGGTCTCCTTCCTCTTTGCCAGAGGTCCTCACTGATCTCCATCTAGCTGCTGCTGCCATGGGCAGAGGTCAGGTCCAGCTAATGCAGCACTCCTAATCTGCTGAGGGTTAGAAAGCTTGTCAGCACTGCTGAAGTCAAGAACATCCAGTTCTAAGGAAGAGGCTTCCTAAAGAAGAGAGAGACTAGGCTTCCAGACATCTGTTGTTCCTACTCAGATCCCCTCTCCTTTAACGGTCACATTTTGATTCTGTTCCTGACAACTGAGGTTGCTGGACTGATGACCTCAGGACACTTGAAGTGTGTGCATGCATCCCGCTGTCTCTTTAAAATAAACATGGCTCCACAGTGTCACCTTTCAAAGTCATCACCTCAGGAGGCCATGGGTACCTCAGGGATGCTTTGCTCAAATACCTGACCTTCAGAGTCCCCACCCCTCCACACAGACAGCGGCTCTCTTTCCTAACATAGACATACTTCTCACTCACAGTGGACACAATGTGAGTGAGCCTCTCCAAGTAATTCAGCAATTGCAGTCACCCAGGATACGACGGTTTAAAAATTCCTCACGCTGCACGCTGGTCCTTTCAGACTGAAACTACTACAAAATATTAGAATGGGGTGGTGATGATGGGCAGGGGGAGGGTTGATGTTAAGAGGACAGCAGTATCCCAGCCATGCCTTCTCAGTCGGCACTGCACCTCGGAACCAGCAGGGGGCACCCGCAACACCTCTGGGACAGGTGCGGTCTCCCTCAATCAGTGAGTCAAATACAGCATAAAAACATCCAGCAAAGTTCTCTAGGCTGAAGGCAAGCATGTACAAGAGACATGCCAAAAGGTCTGGACTCCTATACACTGATGCTTACAATCTTAGGCACAGATACAAACAGAGAAAGATAAAAGCAAATTGATATTTTAAATTTCATTCACTTTAAAAATAAATGATATTTCACAGTTAGTTGAGTCAATAAATTATTGGGCAGTGGAAAGGGTGTGAACACTCTTATATGCCATACAAATTGGTACAAACTTTCCACAGGGCATTTAGTATGGTACCAAAAAATTTAAAAATGTACCTCCCTTTGGCTCAGCTCTTTGGTTTCTAAGAATGTATTCTAATAATCACAAGTGTGTGGCAAAGGCTTATCTACGAAGCTGTTTGACTCAGCACAGTTTAAAACAGGAGAAAGCTAGAAACAAACGCACTGCACACCCCTCCGAGGAAGGTTCAATAACACTTGTGCATCGCAGCAGCCGCTCTGAGACGAAGCAGAAGGATGCTGAGTAGCACGGGGAAATGTCCAGAATACAGTGAAAAAAGGTTACAGCACGGCAAGTGCTCGGTGCTCCAGCTTTTGTTTCTAAAAAGGTATGTAAAATCATATATATTGGAAAGACTGGATTTACACCAAAATGTTAACTGGTTATATCCGATTGGCAGTTACCAAATTTTTTTGTTTATATTTTCCAAGTTTTCTACAACAAGCATTTGTTACGTAAGTAATGAAAATAATACGGTGAAAGTAGCTAACAAGGAAAAAAGTATACAAAGAGCTGGGGAGCAGCCACGGAAAAGTAGGAAGAGTTTGGGGAGCCGAGTGAAGAGGGGCGAGGGCGGTAGTGAGGAGGGGTGAGGGTGGCAACGAGCTGGAAAGCCCAAGGTCCACAGCCTCTAGGATTTCAGCTGCTGGCAGCT